GACCCAAACCTTGGTGATCTATCCACAATAGAACCTTGGATGAAACGAAGTGAATGTCCCAATAATCTGATGTTGAAGAATAACGGATGAATTGTAGTTAGAGATGAAAAGCCACTTCAACCCAAAAGCCAGCTAGTGTTTAACAAGTTGATATCTTTGCTAGAATGTAATAGAATCTTATAAATATATAAATATATATATTTTTTTTTATTGATACCACCGATATAAGGAAATTAGATTTAGGTTAAATGAATGAGTAGTAGTATGGAATTTATAGTGATTATGAATTTTGAGAGAGAAAAATGGTAATTGATTTGATATGAAAAGAGAAAGGAATGGATGTGGCGCAAAATTAGGAGGAGAGAGGGAAGGAAGAGGAATGTTGAAACAGAAATGAGTCAAATTGATGTAGAAAGGGAAATGAAATTGGAATCCCAATCAATCCAGGCACTTCCACCCAAAATCCAGCTAAAACCAAGAAAGCCCCATTCCATCTCCACCACCAATCCAATCTCATCATCATGTTAAGCCTCAAGCAGACATCGATAATGGCCGCCACTCTCCATGTCCACAATCCTTTCTTCTTCTATTCCGCCAATTCTCCCCGCAGAACCCTCCACGTTTGGCTACGATCCGTTTCCGCCACCGCCAACGCCAACGCCACCGCCACCCGCCGCTATTCCCTTGGACTCCCCCAACCGCTGCCGCCGGTTCCGTCGGGAGGCGGTGATAGAGATTCAGTGATTTATGGAGGTGGAATTGGATGGACTTTAGCACCTAACAATCGCCTAGTGTACGAAAAGGGCCCTCCTAAAATTTTAGGGTTCCGTAGCGGTTATAATAAATGTTTTTCGATTGGGTCTAAAAGGTGTAGTTCCATTTCGTCAGAAAAAAGAGGAGGGGTTTTTGGGTTAGGATCAGGCTCTGCTTCTGATTCTGCTTCTCCTCCATCTGCCGGCTCTGAATTTGTAGCTGATATGGGTTCAGAGAGCAAGGATCATAACAATGGCTGGTACCAAGACGACTTGGATAGCCAGAGCCAATCGCCATTAATGCACCAACATGAGCCACAACGTTCCAAATTGCTGACATTGCCCACCATTCTGACGCTTGCCCGAGTGGCCGCTGTCCCGATATTTGTTTGTAGTATGTTCCAAATTCCTGCTTCTTTGTTTATTGCAATCATGTTTGTTCTGATCGTCTGATTGAAGTGAATTGATGCGTGATTAATGGTAGATCTCTAAATCTTGTGTTGCTTGTTGTGATGTAAATTTGACCTGACATCGGCTCCGATTGATAATCCCATTGGTTTTTTTTTTTTTTTTTTTTATATAAATTTTTTTATTGGAAATCGATTTGATCAATTTCTGTATGTGGCTTGTGTTAACGATTGTCATGATTTCTTGGAAGGCAAGTTTTTGTTTTATTTTGTGCGAAAATGAGATTGAATACGGGTTAGTTTCACTCTGTTCAACGATTGTAGCTAATATTTGCTTTAGTTCTTGTTCCCATTGGGTTAACAGCTGTTCTGCGACTGCTTATAGTTCTTGCAACCGACAGTTCTATAGCTTGTTATTATACAAAATATTCCTTTGTTGTTACTTTGTTCTGTTGTTTAAGCCTGAAAGTATCATACCAGCTGATTATTATAGTGGATTTGAAGCATTTATGGCGACAATATTTGATCAAAATTAGACTGTTGTCAGCTGCCTATCATGAACGCTTGAATTTGTTCCTTAGTTTTCTGAAACTACTGTCTACTTTTGATACTAATGCATTTGGGTGTGAAAAACAGTCATTTTAATGTACTTGGTTTTGATAATTATAAAACACGCACACATACACTTTTATGTTATTAGCCTTCTGCGTCGATTATTTGTTTGTTCATTTCAAACCACTTTCCTCTAGTTTGTAGACATTGAAGTAAAAGTTAATTTTAGTGTACTTGAATTTAATCATGATGATATGTGTTTCTGTTATTAGCCTTCTATGTCGATAATTGGTGGGGAACGACTGCGACAACTAGTATATTCATTGCTGCAGCAGTTACAGACTGGCTCGATGGTTATATTGCTCGGAAGGTTTGTTATACACATGCCTGAAGTCCATATCTTGTATGGTGGAAAAAAACCTGTGTTGGCTATTCTTTTTTTTTATAGCTGCCTGAGTTAGTCTGGTCCTGATCTTAATTGCATTTATCAGATGAGGTTAGGTTCTGCTTTTGGTGCATTTCTTGATCCAGTAGCTGATAAGGTTGGCCCTTCTTCTTTTTTTAGGTTCTCACTCATAAGCTTGATCCATTTGAAAGAAATTGAATCAATTTTGTTATGTTCAGATATGGTTAAGAAATTATTAGCTAACTAACATTCCTTTACAACAGCTTATGGTTGCTGCCACACTGATTTTACTATGTACACAACCTTTGGAGGTTTCTGTGTTTGGTCATGTTCCTTGGCTTCTGACCCTACCGTCAATTGCAATTATTGGCCGGGAGGTAATAAATTTTCTAGCCTATTTGGTATTTTGTTTAATTACCAGGATATCTGCCCCACACCTTGCATTATAATTATGATGATCCAAGCACACTCATGTCCGAGGTTTTTTTTTTTTAATGTTTTTTTCAGGGGTGGGGTGGAGTGGGGCTATGAGTGTTGGTATGCTCTCTTTGGTAGCTACTTATTCTCTTGTTTGGAGGATATCAGCCATTTTGAGCAATATTAAGGAAAAGTTAGATTTGTCTTTCCCTACTACTTTCTACAACGTCTTCAATTAATACTTTTAGAGTATATATCTTTTGTGAGATCCCACATTGGTTGGGGAGGAGAACGTAACATTCTTTATAAAGGTGTAGAAACCTCTCTCTAGCAATTGCATTTTAAAAACCTTGAGGGGAAGCCCGAAACAGAAACACAAAGAGGACAATATCTGCTAACGGTGGACTTGGGTCTTTACAAATGGTATTAGAGCTAGACACCAGGCAATGTGCCAACAAAGAGGTTGAGCCCCCTAAGGGGGTGGACACGAGGCGGTGTGCTAGCAAGGACGCTGGGCCCTGAAGGGAGGTGGATTGTGAGATCCCACATTGGTTGGGGTGTGGAGACCTCTCCCTAGTAGATGCGTTTTAAAAACCTTGAGGGGAAGCCCGAAAGGGAAAGCCTAAAGAGGACAATATCTGCTAGCGGTGGACTTGGGCTGTTACATTTTTGGTAAACCTTCGATTTGAGAATGCCTTCTTTAGTTATCAGTGTGCCCCTTATGTACATCTGATAGGGCGCACGTTTTTATTTTGTGCCTGCTTCTCTTTTTCCTTTCCTTTTTTTCCCCTCCCTATTTCTTTGATCTTGCTTTTGCTTTTGTATATTTGATTCATCTATGAATTCGTAACTGATATCTTACGACCGTTTGCAATTTATATGTAGATAACCATGTCTGCAGTTAGAGAATGGGCTGCTTCCCAGAATAGCAAGCTTTTAGAGGTTTGTTTTTCTATATATGCCAAAAACCAATTCAGTTTGTTAGAATTGATGAAGTTTTTATCTGAGTTTTATAACTTGAGAAACAGGCTGTGGCCGTAAATAACTTGGGGAAGTGGAAAACAGCAACACAGATGATTGCACTAACCACCCTTCTGGCTAGCCGAGACAGCAGGTTTGTTTTTTCTCTTTTTTTCTTCATCGATCATCTTTCGAGGCTTTAACAACCCAAGAAACATCCATTCCAACTATACTTGAACGTGTTCTGTTCTAAAGGTGTTCTTAGTCTTGAATTTTTCTCGAATGAATAGTACCAAAAACAATGAACCTCTTCTATATCTGCAAAGCTAATTGGTTCATTTTTCCTTTTTATTAGTCTTGGAGGATCTGGAATTTTAGTAGCAACTGGTGTGGTCTTATTGTACATATCAGCTTGGCTTGCCGTGTGGTCACTATTTATTTATTCCCGCAAGATCTCGAAAGTTTTGTTTCGCTAGCACAACCCGACCCAACCTTTCGATTCTCTTTGTTTTTGTTTGACCACACATGCAAGAGCTAGGTCATCCTATGGCCAACATTGACTGATTGCTTGATCTGTTGGTGGGTGATGCCCATTAGAGACTGTTGAAGCCAGTTTCTCAAGTGACATGCAGCCTGTGGATGATTTATAAGAAGACAGCAGCCATAGTTACAGACCTGCTGAAGCTGAAACTGGAAGTTTGGACTGAGGTCTGATGTAACTATAAATTTACTGACTATTTAAAAAAGAAATTATATAAAGTGGCACTTTATCTCATGCTCGTTGATATTTAAAATCAATCCCTCGAGTATTCTTGTCGATGCTGCGATAAACCTGACGTTTTCCAGGTGTGCTGAGATTTCAAGATTTGTAGATATTTTTGTTCTTTGAAATTTTTAGATGAAATTCACTGAAATTACATTGATGTAGTAGAACAGGTTGAATCGATATTTAATTTCTTTTTTTATTTGTTTGGAAGATTTGTTAATTACTTTTAAAAAGTTAGTCATGCTGCAACATAAAAATGCTGCTAATAGGGTCTGATGGTTTGATTTACATTTGTTTTCAGATCGAAAATCTTAACAAGTTAGTCATGATGTAGTAGGGGTTTGATGGTCTGATTCACTTTTGTTTTCACCAAAACTGAAGACCGAAAATCAAAAATCCATAAAAACAAATTCAAACGAAACAAGTTAGTCATGATGTAATGATGGTTTGATTCACTTTTGTTTTCACCAAAATTGAAGACCGAAAATTGAATGAATTCATAAAAACAAGTTAAAACGAAACACGTTAGTCATGATGTAGAAGGGGTATGATGATTTGATTCACTTTTGTTTTCACCAAAATTGAAGACCGAAAATCGAACGAACTCATAAAAATAAGTTAAAACGAAACACGTTAGTCATGATGTAGTAGAGGTTTGATGGTTTGATTGAAAATCGAACGAACTCATAAAAACAAGTTAAAAACGAAACACGTTAGTCTACATCGAATGGATTCTCAATTGTTTTGGTTTGATTTTTCAATGATCCATCTTAAAAAAAGGAACAAAGTACAATGATCTCATATACTCCATTGTGAAGTAATACACGAGAAGCTTATTACAAGAAGCAACTACGCATGTGCTGCACAGTACAGTCTGCAGTAACCATGGCCATTGGGGAGGCTGCAGCTGCGGCTTTCACAAAGGGCCCTGCAAGCTGAAAAAGAAAAAAGAAAAGAGAGACATAATGGCAGACAATTCATGAAGAAAAAAACATCTAAACTTCTTTCATTTTCATAATTCAAATTTTCATTCATTTCTGTGACGCATTAGCTTTAGGAAAATTTCATCCATTCTCGAGATAACTGATGTCTAAACAGTGAGATATTTCTCCAATCATGACTTCCATGATCGAACAAAATTTCCATGTCAGACATTACTTTGGCTGTTTGAAGACCAAAAAATGAGTGAAACATGCCTTGTAACATCAAAAGTTAAAGATTAGAGCGACCCCTGTGCATATAATCGAAAGCATTCATGGGATTTATGTCTTGGAATCAAAGAGACAATTCCTTATAAGGGTGTGAAAATCGATCTCTAGTAGACGCATTTTAAACCCTTGAAGGAAAGCCCTCGAAGGAAATGCCGAAAGAGACAATATCTGCTAGCAGTGAGCTTAGACTGTTACCGTATGGATTTAGTATTAGTCAGGTGATCAATTCTAATAACTAATCTCGGTGTCGGTGTTGAACAGAAACTGATCCGACCCAACTCACTTACGTCAGTACTAAAGTGCCACGGTCTTTGCTTTCTTTCAGTTACCATTCATTTTATCAGAACTGATGAGATCAGTACATCAAAGTCATGATTTATTCCCACTCCATAGCTCTTGATTTTATCACTCATAGTCTTATGGTTGATGAAGACATTTTGGTATTTTCCACCATTTCTTTAAAATTTCCATCAACATCTATACCAACAGCCCATAAGCTACCATGCAAAGTGAAAGTCCCTACTAACCAAACTAAACTGGCCTAGAAAAAACGAACCATCATCATATTTTGAAAGAGCTGATTCAATATATTCAGATTATGATGCTTTAGTACTAATGGAAATGTAACTCGAGCTTATGAGCATAAAAAGGAATTCTTTCCTGGATACTTACATCGCGAAACAATGAAGGCCCTTCAAAGTTGCTGCCAGTATATTTAATCAATTCAGGACTCTCTCCTTTGACTTCATTATTATGTTCAAGAGCTGCTACCAGTGCTAATACTCAGAAGTCAAAAACATCAAAGAGGAAATGGACAGTAGCTTAATTGTATATAGCAATGGCTATCTCAGACAGCGAGTGCAGAGATCAGTTCAATGAAGTCTGGATGCAAGAATACATATAAAATAATGAAGATTTCGAAGATTTCTCTCAAATCTCCCCTTAACTATATGAACATAGAAGTTCTCCACTGAGAAAATTTGTTAGCTCCATCCCTACCACCATCAAAGTGACTTAGCTAGGCATCAAAATACAAATCAAAGTAACCTTGCAAAACTTATCTGCAATGTCTTCTATAATCCATGAATTGAACTCAAAATTTTACTTCCAACAATTTCATAACAGGGTCAGAGTCCTCTATTTCATTAAATTTGTTATATCTTCCAACATTCAATTCGATAGCACGAGAAACTAAAATAACATAAACTTTAAAATCGTTTTCTTCTTCTGGCAGAACGAACAGAGAATTTCATTATAACACGCCCCTTACTTATCTCTCTTCTATTCCTCCATCTTCTCATCCAGAAAAAAAAAAGGGAGAAGATTAACATACTCAGCAGTCATATTCACAGCAATTACAGGTCTGGCTCGTCTTCCAGATGCTTAAGAGGAGAAAGAATGGGGCTCCAGAATGTTAATCTCGAGGGGATGCAAGATAGTGAGATATCGGAGGAAGACGAGAGCTGTGAGAAGCAGGCGATGCTACCAAGTGTGAAAGTCGCCATGATTGATCAAGTCAAGACTCTCTCCATGATTTTTATGTTTGGAATAGATTCCTTTCGTTGAAAGGTTATATACCTCTACCTTTTGAAGGCATTTCTTTAGACAAAGACTCTGTTTTTTCCTCTTTTCGGATGGTAAATATTTCTTAGAACACATCGATGCAAGTTCATCCCCTCTAAATTAGATAGATTCATATCTGAAAGAAGTTGACAATAAGTTATATCAAAATTGACTATTTGTCCTTATGTTAGAGGTGTTTCAGAAATGTATGCGATCGAGTAAATAGCTCGACGAACGAATTAGAAAATGGAAAGATTTGTACAAGTTATACCTTTCGTCACCACTTTGTGTAAAATCGTTAGGTATGAATATGTTAGATACCTGGATCGATTGGTGACTCCTAGTCAATATTCTCTCTATATATGTACAATTGACACATGTCAATAAGGAGACCTCATAGGTAATAAGAGTGCTATACATTAAAAAAGAAAACACAAAAGGAAAGGAAAAAGAAAGGGTAAATGGGGAAGGGAAAAGAAAAGGGCTATGTTTCCAAATCTCTCCTCTTTTGAACACAAACAATCATTCATTTTGCAATACAAATGAAGAAACTAAGATCTAGCAGCGAGGATGGATACCAGAACCCCCTCTGATTGAAAGCATAGGTCCATGGCTCGGACTGCGACTAATCAGATGCGAATCCAGGAACAAAACTATAACAGTTATGTCGTCATGAAAATGTCGTCTTACCCCGCGGTCGATCTTCTTCAGGTCTGTGTACCTCATTTCTCTTTTTCTTGCAGCTTCATGAAGAGCAGCTTTAACGAGCTTCCTTGCAATCCCCTGAACATACACAACACTAAGTCATGGATGAAACCCAAATGATCTGAAAAAAAAATGATGAACAAAGAAGGAATAATTGCCAGACAGATTACAACAACAAGCTCAAAACAAGAGGAGGAGCCATTACAGTGAGTATCACACCAAACAATGAACATTGCTATTGGTTATATCCAAGTTTTTGATAAACATCTATTTCTAGTAACAGGTATTAAGCAGGCAGCCCAGAAGTCTATTTCAATTTTCACATAAGAAGGTAGTACTCTAAGCAAACAGAAGAGCAAAAGAGACAAAAAGAACTTAAGCAGAAATCGACCGTACGTTACGTGGACAACTATGGACGAGGTCGACAGCTTCCTGATTGCTTATATACTCCCAAAGACCATCTGAAGCAAATATAAGAAACTGATCCTCTGGGTACAGTTTCTGCACTACGATAGCAGGCTCGGCTTGAAGTATTGGCTTGTGAAAGGGTTCTGGTAATCTGAACTTCGGCAAAAGAGGCTCTCGGTTGAACTCGGTTTTCTTCAGATAAGCATCACCAAGGGATCTTGAGACCTACATATGAGCAGAGTGATAGTTTCTAGTTCATAACTAGTTGTTCAATGTAGAGAACTTTTAAAGCTTTCATAGAGTTCAGAGCATACCAAATCAAACATGTTCTATCCAAAAAAACATGTTCTATCAGGAAATATCAAAGAAGACAAAGGGGGTTGAAGAACAAACCTGTATAACACCCTTCACACGCCACACCTTGTGCTTTAAGACCACAATGTGCGGATCATTGGGGTGCAACAAGTGCAACTCCTCTCTCACAGATTCAATACTTGCATTGTGCTCAGATGACAATTGGACAGCTTTAACCTCTTTATGAGTTTTTTCAGTTCTTCCCAACACCACTCTAGAATCTCCAGCATTTGCAATATACAGTAATCCACAACATATTATGCCTACCAAACAGCATGAACCGACCGAAGCAATTTGCGGCTTAATAAGCCATTGATTCTTTACAAGAGACAAGAACTCTTCCTCTGTCTCCACGAACGCTTTGTTAATAATTTCAGCCGATACTCCCTGATTATCTGGAATAAATTCTGCACCATGAAAAGCTGTCAAGTGTAAACATTCCCATTAGCCATATAATACAAATTGGTAAGAGACCATAATAAGCACTCACAAGTCACAACATGGCTCCACGAAGACCAATATACCTCTTTCCTTCCATCATTTGCTATGGGCTTCAAATTAGACTAGTTTCATTTACGATCTTGAATTTTATGAACAACAAAAAACTTCCCAACCATAACAACCTCTACACGTACCCATTAAGAGGAGGATATCAAATTCTTTTGCAGTCTAAATAATGAACTTCAATAATTTTCACATAAAAAACTAAAATTCCATAGGATGCACCACTCGAGCACGGTAAACACCACCTTCGACCGGGACAATCAAATCCTTGTCTAGTCCATCTTATAGGACAATGTTCAGTAATATTAATGTCTAAAGAATGTGTACCATTTACCTTGACTAGAAAAAGAAATAAAAATTATAGTTAGGGTGAATTTCGGATAATTTTTGGAAGGTAAATGTGAGAACTCACATTGGTTGGAGAGGGGAACCAAGCATTCTTATAAGGGTGTGGAAACCTCTCCATAGCTGGGGGTTTAAAAACTTTGAGGAGAAGCCCTAGTACAATATCTAGGGCGGTGGGCTTGGGCGGTTACAAATGGCATCAGAGCTAGACAGTGCGAGACACTGGTCGGAGTAGAACTATACTCTCTCCATAGTAGACCGTTTTAAAACCCAGAAGACAATATCGGTGAATTTGGGGCTGTTATAGTAAAAAATCCACTTAGGCCATTAAAAACACTAATCAAAATTCTCATAATGTTGGTTATGGTTAGCCAAGCCAAGGGGATTATGAAAGTTCAATCAAGTCCTTTTAGAGTAAACACCCAATTAGCGCTTCTACTTTGAATGCATCAACACATTTTTCAAAAGTCAACACAAACTCGCCATTAGACTACATACTTAAATTTCGGTCTGAGGAGGAAAATCAACACACACACACACAAGGCAAAAGCTACCTTGAAGAGGAATAAGTGGAAGAGGTATTTAGCATAAGTAGATTAAAACTTACTCTTCATATTATTGAACAGACGATCATTTATGAATTCTGCAGCTTCAGGACCTCCATGGCCATCATAGATTCCAACAAACGTTCCGACAGGACCCGATTCAAATGAGCTCAGTGGCCCTGACTCAAGCTGGCTGCGGTCTTCCAACAATTTATTTGCCTGAATAACTGCCATTGAGAATTCTCCATTAATATGGCGGCCAGAATCCTTGTACCACAACAGCCCGTCAACCCGACCACTTGCATCCCCACCTCTACTAGAATTTCCGCCTTCAACTGAAGGTTTCCAGCAGGGTGATACAATCTTCATCAAAGTTTCAGATACCATCCCTTACATATTCTCACCCAAATGATCCAGCATGAAAAACCATTCTTCAAAACCGACCGGAAGGATAGTATTAAAACCAAAAGTTCCCTTTATTTCGTTCACAAATGTACGAAATAATGAGTTTCAGATGTCAGAAAACCATTGATCAAAGCAGACACCATCAGTATTTCAACAATATAACATTGAGTTTCTTGATGTCTACACGTAGCAACTGCAAATTCAAGAATCACATTGAATGAAAGTTCAAAATTGATACATATGAACATATAGAACAGTTTCAAAGTGTAAATCAACCAAAAGAACAAAAATTGAACCTAGGAACACTAGAGAATACAAAGAAACCAAAAAACAAGTAAAAGAAGTTGCATTACAAACCTTGAGATAGCCGAGAGAGTTTGCAGACACTTTTCTGCAAAACTGTCCAAATTATAGACTGAGAAACGCATTATAAGATGAAAATGAACAAAGGGAATCAAGTAAAAAGAATTTGGGGTGTTCTGACAGAAGAAAAAAACCTGTCAGAACGTTGAAACGAGCAGATCTGGAAAGAGGGAAATTCCTGAAGTTTAATTGGCCCTCCTCCTCCTCGGGATTTCTTCCTTTTCTTTTCCTTCTTTTTTGAATTTTTTAAATTTTTTTCTTTTTTTTTATTGATTTTTTTTTTCCTTTTTCTGTTTCTTTGAGCCAAAGAAACAGATGGATCAATCTCCAACAACAGAATCCCTTGGTTTGGGAACAATTTAATAAACAAAATAAAAAAAAACCCTCGTTTTCTAAGGGTTCTTATCAATTTATTAAATTAAATTTGGCACTTTTCAGTTTTGGTTTTCTAACTTATTGCCTGGATTCTTGATTTTAACCTTTAACGAACCCGCCATTTCAGGCAACTATTGCTCACCTTCTTTTCTAATTGGCAGAACATACAAAAAAATAGCAAAAACCCCAAAATATATGAATCCAAGTAATCATTCAAACAAAAAAGTAGAGACAAAAAGTTCCACCATATCACTTTCTCGGAAAACTGAGTAAATTTTCCGGGAAAATTGGGAGAGATAAGTTGAAAAGCCGAGGATTAAGAAATGATAAACCCTACGATGTCGAAAGTAAGCCAAACCCAACCTGAATCACGTCCCTTCTCTTCGCTGGTAAAATGAGCCCTCTATTCTTCCAGAAGCGCACTGATTCCTGATTCGACACCAGCATTTGGGTTTCGAATATTCTGAATTTCCATTCCGCATATTTTCTTCCATCTTCAGTGGCTTAATTTTTGATGCGCTGCTCCAACGGACTGCTAGAGGTCGTCGATTTTGAGAGATTCCGCGGGAACGGCAATTCGATGGTTAAACTATAAGTTTAATTTCATTGGTCTATTTCGATCCAAGCACTTGTCTGTTTCTACTGTGTGTTTTTTTTTTTTTTTTTCTGAAAATAAAACATATTTTTATTAAAAATTCATTAAAAAGTTTAGCCAATAACCAATAGAATATATTAATACTGAAAATTTTACCTATTACTGTTACCATAGTACCTGAACATAACTGTAAACGTTTTCTTTTTTATTTATTATTTAATTTTTGTATTTATTATTTACTTCTTTTTTATTAAAACAAAAGCATTGGTTATAACAATATTTGATATTTGAATTTTGTGATATTCATTAATTAAATATATAT